TATTAAACTAACTATCATTAAGGTTTATGACTTACTGTTAATTATATTTTATAAAAATTAAAACATAAACATCTCATATAACATTACAAATGCTCATGACTGCCTTTCACTTAGAGCTCTTCAAAAACTGCAAGAAATTACCATGTCTCGTAAACTCCTGTTAGGAATGCCACCTTGTGGATAAAAGCTGTATGGACCAACGATTCCAGGTAAGCTTCACTAAAATTTTTACTTGCAAAAAATACCCGTTTTGCAGAAATGAGCTATTCATGTGTGACCTTTCAGAACTGTAAATAATTCTTTTATTAACTATTCTGGTTGAAAATGACTGTGAATATGGCTTTCCTGTCCTCATCTGTATAAAATGCTAATTAATTATGCAGGAAGCACCAGTTTCATTAGAGATGGGATGCATTTATTAGCATTTTAAACAGAATCAGATCGCCACATGTACTTAGTATAAAAGCCCACTAAATGCTTACTCTATTTATTTATAGTTCAGTGAATTATTCTAAAATATATGGAAAATACATTTTTCTCAAAATATGTTGCTAGAGCAGAATCCTATGAGCACACTTTAACGTCTCTAAGCTTTAGGGGGCATCTTTGGTTGGAATGTAACAGGTCGAGTTTGACTATAAAAAGGAAACATTGGATTTTTCATTTTGTCTTACATAGATCCTATTATGAGCTGAAAATGAATTGAAAACAGCCACTGTATTGCAACTTGCTTGTTATAGCCCAGAAAAATGCCAAGTAAACAAGAATGGAAAGAAGGGGTCCAAGAGCATCTAATAAAACCTTAAAAGATCTCTAACTTTTAAAAGCTTGGAAAAATAAATAATAATTAGCTACATTCAATAAAGCTGACATTTACACAGGCACTTTCCTTCTGTGTCTGTTCACCTCATTTTCATAATGAAAGTATATATAGCCCAAACCATCACAGAACGTATTGTATAATGAAATTTAAAACTAATGAGCCATATCCTAATAGCCATGAGTCAAGTCAGAGTGTGCATTAGTAGTCCATTTGCAATTCTCTAGAGACAGAAAGAACAAGGCTAAATGTATCCAGTAGCCAATTTAGTGGACAACTTGTTCTGTGTACTGATCACACTACAGCAGAACTGAAATGAGTTCACAATCTCTGGCTCTCAAACCTCTGTTAAATTCTGTCAGCAGACAAGTTACTCCTGGGGCAGCCAAATATGACTTGTGATTATTCGCTTTGACCTGTTGTGTAACAAGGATCTGATTTGTCTGAATCGGTCCTGTTTCTATCAAATCACATTTTTTCACAAAATCATCTAACGTGTCCAGACAGGGAAGTCTTTACCTTTCTGTTATGTACCTTTATCCCTTCTTGAAACATTTCCAACTTCTACTTAGAATTGCTGGATCACTCTTTCACTGCTAGATGGAACAGTTCCTTATTATATTTTTTTATCTCCCAAGCTGGTTTGTCTAGGCTAATTCTTTCACTAAACTAAGCAAATTCTGTTTGTCGAGACTCTCATGCCAGTGCTTTTTTAAAATACTTCTATTGCTCTCATGGCTTTTTATGTCCAAATTCCCAGCACTACTGAAAATTATGACTCCTGGAACTGGGCACAGCATTCTTCCAAAAGGCTATACCAGAGTCAAATACAGTCAGCAATATTACTTCCCTGACAGTATTCCCATTTCTAAACCTCAAGATCTCACCAACCCTTTTGGCTGCAAGACATGCTGAAAATTCATGTTCACTTGAGAATGCACACCATTTTCACACACTGTTCAAAATCAGCATTTCCTACCACAAATTGTTCCACTTGCTAAATATATTCTCAAACCTCTATGCTGGTAGAAACACAGGGCCATTTTAGGCCAGTGAAATGCAAGTTGCTTACAGCTCCCAATCAAGCAATTAATCTTACTATCTCTAAGTAGTTCCTTAGTATTTAAGTTTTGTGGCATCTGTAGATTTTTTACTTTATTTCCTCCTGTGTTCTTAACAAACTCATGGTCAAGAGCCAAATCCTATGTGAACTCACATAACAAATCTGTTCAGTGTTTCCTTTCCAGTTTGACTCAATTACTGTCATGATGAATTTTACATTTGGGGGTGATACCCTGCATGTTTCTATAGCAATAACTTATTTAAAATAAAATAAAATACTTGAAAATCTAAATATATTCCAAATACTAGTGAAGAAATACCTAAATAAAATGCTAGAGTAACAATTCTGGTGCTAAGTAATTGATTTTGTGAAGACTTTGTTGAGATACACTTTTTATGAAAAATGTGGTCCTATGTTGCACAGGGAAAACACTGTGGATGCTCTACTAGGTTAAATTTTATAAGACTACATACATAAGAGAGTATATCAGTTGTTTTCTTAAATCAGCTGAGCAGCTTTCCTATGCTGTCAAGAAAGAGGCCACAGAGCATCTTAAACAGTTATCAGGGAATAAAGTCTTTTTGAGTAAAAGAAACAAAGAGCTTAGATCTACATTCACAATGGAAGACCTGCAAAAGTTTTAGTTAAGTTGGAAAGCAAGACCAAGACTGTTGTCTTTTAGATTGCTACATTCTGAAAAATTCTGAATCAACAGCTTCCCAGTTCTGATAAGCATGCTGAGTACATTTATAATTCCTGTGGAAAAACACAGTAACATTTAAATACTCCTTAAGCTGCTAATACATGTTCAGAATCAACTGGCCATTCCCTTTAATTCATTGGCATTAACTACTCATTGCTGTTTCAGCTATTCAAGTGATTTTTTAAGCCCCTGATCCTGAAATAATATTCCAAGTGAATGAAGGTTGCTCCACAACTGTTAAAACAACCATCTCATGTCTCCACTGAACTAAGTGGGAATAAGAAAAATTAAACAGTCAGAGATTTCCTTTTCCATATTAATTCCTCACAATACAGTAGGCTTTCCATGTAGCACCAGGCAAGTCCGTGTGCAACATAAACAGAGTGTTTAGACATTTGCTATTTTGGATGTGGGATTCTTTTCTATACATACTTTCCTTCCAGAATGATGCAAATTATCTCACTAACCACCTCAGTCTCAGCAAAGTGAATCACTAGATTATCAGTTACTATACATCCAGCTTTCAAGAAAACACAGGATGGAACACATATTTCAAGATTTAAGAATATCAAACTCTAAACCCCATTCCTTTTAGTGGATTCCCTTTATATCAGATTGATAAGGATTTACAAACATATTTACAAAGAAAGTGCTACACCATGGATCCTGAAGTTTTATTTGGAAAGAAATATGGCGGATACAAATGAGTAATGCATATTTCTGGAAAGCCAAACATGATATACTTAATGGCATTGTATGTTCTTGATGTCCTTGAAGAGCAAACTTGACAGCATAAAAAATAAGAATCTTCCCTGTAGAGTTCCACCAGCTAAAATATTCAATTGCCTCAAAAACATATATAGCAATTATTTTTTAATTGTAAGATACTAAGAAAACAGAATTATCTTCTCAAGTTGTCCCTATGTGCTCTATTCACCCTTTACCTCATATCACTCTCTGTCACCGCAAGAAGGGCTGTGACTAAAAGCAAGTAACGAGCAGCTGGTACATGCGTAAGCAAAACAGTATTTTCCACATAAACATTCCTGTAATAAAAAGTGTAACTATAACATTACATTTGTCCTTACATTTGTTACATTCATCCTTAAGGTTTTTCATGTAGTAGCAAGTGTTCAACAAACATTTATCTATACAGACGAACAACAGCTTAACTAAAGCTATGCTTTTACTGCAGGTCAACAAAGCCAGTGCAAATGTGTATCTAGTGCAAATGTGTATCTCTGTCAACCTGGCTTTTATTGATTGAGACTGCAACATCCTATCGCTAGACAAACAAGAGCAAACTCTGTATTCCTTAAGCCTAAATGGCTTAAGGAATTCTCCTAACCAGCACCATACAGATTTGCCCTTGTGTATCACTGGCACACCATTTTTGCCTTAATAGAAAATACCTCATGACAACATTCAGTGTGCACAATGTCTGCACACTGCACACACAATGTCACTTGTGTCCACTCTTTAATGCCTTTTGAATATTTCATAATACTGACAGTGAGGGAGGAAAAAAGACAGTAACAGTAGCACAACGTTTGTTGAATCACAGTATATTGTTGACACTAAGAAAATCCAGGCTGGGAAGACAAGAGGGTTGCTTCCCTCTCTATCCCATGTCCCCACAGCCAGTATACTGAATATGCTGGAATTTTTTTCTCTTCTATTTCTCCAGGCCCAGAAGAACAAGGCAAGCCAGGAGATTGTACATGACAGCTGCCAGAACACAGCATCAGCACCAGGTCACAAATACTGTGCACATCCAGGATCACAACACTACTGCAGCATTTTATAGAGCCCATTACAAGGATCCACAAGCAGATGTAGTGCACAAAAATAGCTCACTGAAAGTCCAAAAATTAATTATTTAGACATTCTGAGAAATGTATTAATACCTTATGTGCTCTTTAACCACTGCCTTTAAAGACCTTAAGTCCATGTTGAAAACCCTTAACTAGGTACAACTGCTCATTTTTTTACTTATTCAGTTTGTATCAACTGCTATAATGGTTCATGCCATAGGAAAACAGCAACTGGAAATTTTACTAATACTTTCTACTTCAAGATTGAGTTACTGCTATAAACTTTGAAATATTGATTGAGTCATGCCAAAATAAATCCCCTGCTAGTTTAGTTCTGACTGGTTTATCTAGCAGTGAGTTATCTCAGGGTAGGATGTTGGCTTCTACTCTAATCTTCTTAGAATCTCAGCTTTCTCTTTCAGGTATTTTTCACGAAAACAAGCTCTTCTTTGAAGCCATTTCTTTAAAGTACTGTAACTGTGTGACAAATTGACCTGTGATGTCAAAGGGCATTAAGCCCCATAGAACCAGTTACTGCAGGATTTCCACTGAGTCCGGAAACTGAACCCAATCCCTGTCCCAGTAATTCAACTCAGGCAGTTGGGTTTGTTTGTGTTTGGATTTTTTAACATTTAGAATTCTGGTCTTGTACTGAGCACATCCAGAGAAAGCAGTACATTTTTTTTCCACTTGGAACTACTGTAAGAATCAGGCCGAAACATAGAGAAATACAAGGTGGATGTGCACTTATCACTACCACAAGCAATGCTTCTTTTTTGGCAATATGCTTGTGCAATTTTTTCTTACAGAACTTGGATTTTTAAAAAAAAAAAAAATTACACATTTATGGTCTTTCCAATGTTGTGCCTGGAAAATGACAACTCCCCTGCCACATGTGGAAACTGAATGAGTCAGGTCTTTTCACCCTGGAGGAGGTTCAGGGGCCACTTCATCAGCTTTCCAGTACTTCAGTGGTGGCTAGAAAGAGGACAGAGGCTCTCTCTTCAGAAGGAGACACACGGAGACAAAGAGGAAGTTGCACCAGGAGAAGGTTCATCTTGATATAAGAAAAAAATTTTTCCCAGTAAGGACACTCAATCAGTGGAACAACCTCCATAGGGAAGTGGAAGAGCCCCATCGCTGGAGGTTTTTAAGACGTGCCTGGGCAGGGTGCTAGATAATCTCATCTAGGTTCCCTTTCCCACAAAAGGTTGGACTGGGTGATGTTTTGAGGTCCCTTCCAACTTGGGATGCTCGTGATTCTGTGAAAACAAAAACTTCTTTTTCAAAGTTACTGCAGAAATAGTGAACAAGGATTGAGCCGAGAAAAGAACTACAAAGGTTCTAAAAAGGTATCCAAGAATGGCATAATCTAGAAAGCTATTGTGTTACACCTATGTTATCAGCTACATTTAATTATACTGTATAATGCACCCACTGTGGCAAAGTGCTTGAGTCTTTTACTTTAGGCTGGAAGAAATTCTTTAAACAACAATTCTTTAAAATAGTTTACTAGGTGGTGTCTTCTTCGCCTCTAATGTGGCAAGAAAGTGCCTCTAATGCGGCAAACAGACACACAGAGGAACCTGTCAGATATGACAACAGTTCAAAGCCCCAGGTGAATCTTGACATCTAGGAAATGTTGCATATCGAAGAGGCAAAAAATGTTATCAATTACCAGATAATCTGAATCTCGGTGGGAAAGTCGACCTCTCATCTGATGATGGGCAGCTCTTTACCTGTAAAGAGCCATTTGCATGCCACTCAAAACTAGCCATTACATCATTTCACCATTTATCTTAGTGTGAAATGTAGTTTATTTTATGTCATTGCCAAATATACCTCCAGGTACCAGAATACATTTCTCCATAACCACATGATCTCCTAGGACAACCTACTCAATCTTTTTTCTTCAGAAAAAAAACAATAAAGAGCCTATCATTAGCAAAAGCACATAGAGCTATTTTAGGTTACATAATGAATACCTCTGATGCTATCACCCTGGAATTCATCCTTCACTTTCCTTGATGAGGAAAGCAATTTGGGAAGCTTCTTTCTTACACTAATTCATGCAAAGCAAGAACAGAATAGAACATCAAGGACGTTAACTTAAGAAAATAGGAAAACAGAAGTAATTAGAACAAGAAAGCTCTATGATGTCAAAAATTAAACTTATAATGCAAAAAAATAAATGTAAAGAAAAGACAAAGTCTGGTTCTTATTTAAGAAGATCACTGCTACTACTAGCAGATTCTTCTATGGGATTAAAAAAGAGTTCTAAAGTTGAAAGTTCAAACAGAAAACATATAGGAGAAAGACCACAACACACTGGAGGAAGAGTCACATCTCAAATATATTAAAAATACCAAATCAAGTATTCTATTTGACACAGGAAAATATCTGGGAGAAAAAAGTCTGAAAAACAAAAAGACCAGATTTTTTTGTACAGAAACACTGGCCTCATACATAAAAAAACATTATACAAAAAGATACCACAAAATTCAATGGTTCCTCAGTGGTTCAGGGATTAACAATACAAGTACACTTCAATCTTTGTAGTGAAATCCATTCTCATTAGCAACATATGAACATTATTATAGTATCTTATTATGTTCCAGTGCCCTAAGTGAAATGAGTTTAATTAATCACCCACAGACCAAAGGATCACATCATTGCTGCAACAAAACCAAAGCTATTAGTTTCAGAAAGGTCAGACTTGATTATCTGTCTCCTTCAGGCTTCTGAAGGAGACAGCACTGCCAAGGACAGCTGGGAGTGCTGACATCTCTACTGTGTCTGACCTGCAAAAAGGTAGTCCAGTCTTTTACACTCTCAATTCACAACCTTTCACCACCACTAGAAATCTCACACATGTTACTTACAAATGCTGTTGAAAGCTTGACAACTGAGTATAAAACTGTGGATGGTGTGCTGTGGACTGGACACAGCCCAGGTGAATGATGGTTTTAGTAAAACATGCAGCTTGCTGAGACAGCATTGCAATTGACACTGGGGACACTGGATCAGTTGCTCAAAAAACTTTCATGAAATGATTTTGGATTAAGGTTTCTATATGGTGCATCAGCACACTCATATCGGCAGCACAGACCTGGTGATCCCCATTCCCTGTCTTTTTCAGGGTCTCTAACAGGCCCCAATGGATTGGAGGCAGAGCGCTGTAAGAACTCAGCAAGTGAAGCTGACTTAATGGATTCTGGTTTATTTCTGCAATCCTCAAGGCCCTCAAGATAGCAGGTGCAAACTTAGAATAATGAGCTGTAGACGAAATAATAATTGGGCAAGTTCTATCTTGCAATCGATCTGCAACTACTTTAGCAACAGCTGTGTGCGTATCCAAAATATATCCTGTAGTACTGTACACAGAGTGAATGGCAGCTAGACAGTCCTCCTCAGAGCACCAGCCAGCCACTAAGTCCTGCTGAAGCTTTTCAAGTAGATCTTTCCTTAGCTGGAAGTGGCCCTGATTTTCCAGCTGGTTAAATAATTGTGTTACCAGCTGTCCATCTTCATTAGCAATCAGGTGCAAGTATCGTTCAAGATTGGAGGACTTCAAAATATCTACTGCTGATGAAAAAGTGGAAATTAATTTTCTTCCCCTCAAATCATAAACACCTGTTCTTATGAAGTCAGTCAAAACATTGTTTTCATTGGAAGCACAAATACATTTTCTGATAGGAATTCCCATCATCTTAGCATAGAAAGCCGCTAATATGTTGCCAAAGTTTCCTGTAGGAATGCAAATATCCACAGGGCTTCCAAAAGGAATAATACCTTGATGAACAAGATCAAGGTATGCAGAAGCATGATAAACTATCTGAGGAAGCAGTCGTGCCCAGTTTATGGAGTTTGCTGCAGCTAAAGCAGTTCCATATTCTACTGTAAGAAAACCAGTAAAATCAGAATTAGTAAAGATTTGCTTTATAGCTGTCTGGCAAAAATCAAAATCAGATTTGACACCCACTGACCATGCATTTTCTTTCTGACAGCCAATCATCTGTGATTTTTGAATTGGGCTTACTCCATCCTCAGGAAAAAAATTCATCACAGCAATTCTCTGTTTGTCAGTGTCGTGGAGACGACTAAAGCCATCTAGGACGGCACTCCCTGTGTCCCCAGAAGTAGCTACCAGAATCAAGTAATTGCAGCTTCTGGGAATGCAGGAGGCAAATAAATGTGGCATCAACTGTAATGCAAAATCTTTAAATGATGCTGTTGGTCCATGAAATAACTCCAGAAGAAACTGATTGCCTGCCAAATGCCTAATTGGGGCAACTTTAGAACAACTAAAGTTTTCTCCATAAGCAGTTCCAATAATTTCTGCCAGTTTAGAAGCAGGAATATCAGCAGGATGTATGCATCTTTCTAGTATGACCTCAGCTCTTTCAACGTAAGTTGCTTCTATTAGACCTTGCCATTCTCCAGCAGTGAATTTTGGAAGTCGTCTCTCAGGAACAAAGAGTCCTCCATCAGGGGCTAAGCCCTGAATAACAACGTCACTGAAATACTTACGAGAGTCTTTTTCCATACTCCTTCCAGACCTACTAGACCGAGTTGAAATGAAAGTTTCCAGTTCCGAATCTTGGTATCTCTTCACAGCATCAAGTACCTTTTCTGCTACAACTTCTGCCGCAACATCCTCTCCACAAAAAACACGGATGTCATGCCACCTTTTGTAAAATGGCTTCCTAAACTGAAGTATGTCCTTGAGGGAATTACCAGCAGACAGGCCCACGATGCGATCCACTGCCATTGATTTCAGCCTGCTCATAATGACTGTTGTGGGCACATCCAGATACACAACTATTCCATTTTTCTTCACGTGCTGCATGCCCGCAGCATGCATTGGATTGGACCCACTAAGGGAAATGACACTTCCAGATGCTGAAAAATTCAACAGGGCTTTTCCTTCCTCCTCTAGAAATTCCTCATAACCAACATTCTGCAGTTTTTCTGACACACTCATATTCCACGCTGTTTCAAGGACATCATCATCTATGTCTATGACAGGGCAATTTAGTTTCTGGCCTACTATTCTCCCAATCGTCGTTTTCCCAGCACCCGGAGGTCCCATCAAGATAATATTTTTGTTTCCAAGAAGAGAATGGCTCGAGAACCATGACTTCCGTATCTGTGCCAATGCAACAGGTCTTGAAAGCATCAGTTTTAAATGCATGCTAGAAAGACTGTTTTGGGTTATTAGTCTCAAAGGCTGATACTGAAAAACATGAAACATCTTCTGATGATTTATTGTGGGGGTTTTTCCAAGGCAACTTGACAATCCACTTAACTGCTTCAGAAAGAGAAAAACAAAAACAGACAAAAAACCAGTAACCAGTCCTTCAGCAAACATCTAGGAAAAAAACCTAAAGGACATAAAATTCAGAACAAGACTTCAAACATAAATCCACCTATGACTTCACCAGTGCCAGGGAGATGTTTTTCAGAGAAAGACTCAGTCCGCTCTCCTGCATAGTTCCAGCTCATTTCCACTGACAAATCCAACTCTTTGCAAATAATATTGTTTATAGAAATTCAAAACCAATTAGTTTTTCCTCTATTAACACTTGTTTTTAATTACACATTTACAAATAACAATTAACTTGATTACCCTCTTGTAATCAAAATGTTAACAAAATATACCTTTGTCCCACCTCCCAAGGTAACTTTGATTTTTTTAATACTTTCTGAAAAAACAAATGCAAGACCCACTTAAATACACAGATAACTCACAGTGTTGTGCAACAGCAAGGCTGAATGAGTTGCATTCAAATCTCTTCTGAAGGGATGGCAAACCGAGCAAGGGATTTGTGAAGAACTCCTATACTGGAATTGTATTGAGTGTTATTTGAGAGGGGAGAGAAAAGGGGGGGGAAGAGAGAGAACACATCATGAAGACACTCTACCCTCAAAAAAAAGGCACTAAGAAAGATGGATTTCCAAAAAAGATTAGGCAAGAAACTCCTGACATTGTGCTTTTTTTTTTGCTTAGATGAATAAACACCAGTATCACCACTAACTGCAGCATATGATGTTTAGGGAGGTCAAAGAGGGAAAGACTCTCAAAATTTCCTTAAAACTGAGGTGGGGGTGGGAAAAGCATTTGCTCGATTCTGTGTGGAAAGATGAGCTTGCAAACAGTAAGTCTGTGTTTGCATCCAGTGCTGTGACCTGGTGGACATGTAATTACAAGGCATAGATCAAAGACGGCATATCATACTGTAAAGTTTTTTTCCTCCATCCTTGTAAAGAATAAGCGCGTCATCCTGTGTAGATAACATATAAGTTTTTTGTAACAGTTATTAAAAAGGAAAAACAAACTGCAAAGTGTAATATCCAGTATCAATATTATATACTATTGCTGCAGTGCAATAGTAATGCACTCGAGTGCATTATGTATGTCTATATTCACAACAGGGACAGAAAAAAGATCATTGTATTAAGCTTGCAAATATAAAAGTTATATTTGGGATTAACCCCCCCCAAGAATGTAGAGACAGTATTTTAGTGACTTTATATCTCTTGAACCTAAGAATCACATCAAGCATTACATGTGGACTAAAGGAGTGCTAACCACACCAGGCACAGTGTCCTGCCTGCCACGTCCAGCTAGACTAGAGATTCACTTGCAGCTGCAGTCACTTGGTTTGCACTACACATTTGCTGGGCGTAACATCTGGGCTGCTCTACAAATTTAGGTCATAGGTATTGTTTGAAATCAACTTAGTTAACCTGGTTGCAAAATCTTGCAGGGAATTCTTCATCCAGCTACTCATTTCAACCTCCTGCAGCGTAGCCCGGTTTTGCACCCACCCACATAAAGCACATGTACACAGACACCCGCAGCTGTTGAACGGCACCCATTTCTTAGAGATTACGTTTTGTTCCAGTGACAAAACTTTTACTGCAAAACCAGCTCAAATTAGCCATCCAACTTTAGATATGAACCTCTATGACAGAAGGGTGCGGTTTTGTTGCAGCAGAGCTCACACCCAAACCTCCAGCGGAATTTAATGCTTTGGTAACACACCTCCACCCTTCCATCTGGACGTAGGCAGGACCTACACATCATCAGCAATGACCCGCCACTCTGACACCCACTGCCGGCGATAGCTCTAGTGAAAATGGGTGTCTTACTGGGATAGACACCAGATGACACCCCAGACCAAGACCGTGCAGCGGCTCCCTCCTCAGTGGCTCGACGCGCCTTGAAGATGCCGAAGCGTGGACGGGCGGAGGGAGGGGGCCGGGCGGACCGCATCCACCCACGCACCCACCCGGCCACCGCAACCGCGGGCACCGGGCTTCCACCTCCCCCCGGGAGCGGCGGCAGCACCTTGTGCCGTCCTGACTTGTCTTGTCTTGTTTTGTTTTACCCTGCCCTGTCCCGCCCTGCCCTGTCCCGCCCAATCCCCCTTGTCCTGTCCTGTCCTGGCCCCCCCCCCCCCCCCCCCCCCCCCCCCCCCCCCCCCCCCCCCCCCCCCCCCCCCCCTCTGCGCGGCGCGCGCGCACCCACGTACGTACCGGCGGGGGCGGGGACCGCTGCCACAGGTGCCGCGCGCGCCCACCGAACGCCCCAACGGCGCACGCGCAGCTGGACCGCCCGGCCCCCTCTGACTTCACCGCCGCGCAGTGCGCACGCGCCGCCGGCAGGTGGCGGCCGCGGCTCCGCCCCGCCATGGCGCCGTTACCCGGCAGCGGTTCCCTTGGTAACGGGCAACGGGGACCGGCCCCGCCCCGCCCGCGGCCCCTCAGAGCCCGGAGCTCTTCGGAGAGGCGGGAGTGCCGTGTCCCAGTCCCTCAGAGAGGGGTCCCGGGGCGGGAGAATGGCGACGCAGAGCGCCCAAGAGGGCGCCTGTGACCCCCCGCCCCGGGCGGAGAAGCCCGTCAAACCCGCCAGGTACGTGGGTGTGGCGGAGTCACTTGCAGGCAAGGGGGCTCGTTCTGGCAAGGCGATGCAGCTAAAGAGGTGTTAAAAAAGACCCCAAACAGACTAGTTTTTGAATAGTTATTGCTCCTCCTAAGGCATCACTAGCTAACATCGAGAAGGACGTTGAGGTGCTGGAGCGTGTCCTGAGAAGGGCAGCGAAAGATTGCGAAGAGTCTGGAGCACGAGTGCTGTAAAGAGTGGCTGAGGGAGCTAAGGGTGTTTAACCTGGAGAAAAGGATATTCCGGGCGGACTTTATCACTCTCCACAGCTGACTGAAAAGAGGGTGTAGCCCGATGGGGGTTGGCCTCTTCTCCCGACTCATGGGTAACAAGCGACAGGATGAGAGGGCATAGTCTTAAGCTGCACCAGGGGAGGTTTAGGTTGAAATTAGGTAGAAATTCTTCGGTGAGTAGACACTGGAATGGACTGACCAGGGAGGTGATAGAGTCACTATCCCTGGAGGAGTTTAATGAAAGACTGGACATGGCACTTAGTGCCGTGGCCTAGTTGACATGGTGGTGTTCAGTCATATGTTGGACTGGATGATCTCAGAGGTCTTTTCCAACCCAGTTGATTCTGTGGTTCTGTGATATGAGAGTTTACAGCCTGCTCTATGAGCTGATGATTCAGCTTAGTGTCTTCAATGTCATCTTGTTCATTGATAATTTAAAAAGGTAATTTATGCATAGAGGAACATGAGACTTCTTTGTTATTTGCACTTACAACAACTTCTCGATAATTAAAATAAAAATAAAATAAAAGTTGGGCTTTTTAATTTACTTTTCTCAGTGCCCCACTTCCGTATTTTCTGTGTCAGGTTGACACTGTTCTGACTCTGAAATTGTTTCTTTCTCACCTCTTACCTTAAAAATATAAAAAAGGCTATTGCCTATAGTTAAGCAAATATGTTAGGTTTTCTTGAAGTCCCCAACAATATAAAACTGTTACATGGTAGTAACAGAGTTATCTGTTGTGCCAGGCACCCACCCAAAACACTCTATCAGTCCCCTCTGCAACTGGACAGAGGAGTGAAAATATAATGAAGGGTTCATTAGCTGAGATAAGGACCAGGAGAAATCACTCAGCAAATACTGTCAGGGGCAAAACAGACTTGAATTCGGCACATTAATTGAATTTCTTACTAACAAAATCGGAGCAGGATATTTTTCTTCTTCAATATGTTATCACAGAGGCGTTACCACCATTCCTAATTGGCCTGGCCTTGGCCAGCAGTGCGTCTGTCCTGGGGCTGGCTGGCATTGGCTCTGCTGGACATGGAAGAAGCTTCTAGTAGCTTCTCACAGAAGCCACCTCTGTAGCCATCCTGCTATTGAAACCTCGCCACTCAAACCCAATATGTACACTTAGCACCTTTAGTAGAAGTTTAATGTAGGTCATGACTCAATAGCTTTAAAACAAGTAGAAGTATCAGTGACACTCATTAGAACAAAGATTGTTATCCCTTTCCAGGTGAAAGGATTCAGACCTGTGAGATTCCTAGTTCTGAATCTTCTCCATGTAAAATTAGAATTGTTTGCTTGTTTGTTTCCGTTGTGAATGGATATACTTTTGGGGGGAGATACTTTTTGACAGACAGAGGAAGGTGAAAGGACAGTATAGCAAAGCACACACACTAAATCCATTCTTGTCCTAATACTATTCAGGGATTTGAATACTCCGTGACCATCAGATTCAGTTTAGGCAAGGTGATCCTTGGGTTGGATATAATCTGACTAAATCCCCTTCTGATCTCATTAACTTTTGTTGTCTCCCCGCTTCCCGCTTTGGTTTACAATGTGACAAATATTCAGCCGGTAACAAGTGTCAAACCTTGTTAAGAATATAATTTGACCAGTTTCAACTAATGCATACAAAATCTAGGGGGTTTGTGGGTTTTATGTTGTTTTCTTTTCCCAAATAAAATCATACATATTTCACTCTCAACTGATGAGTTACTGCTCATGAAATCACAGCAAGCTTCCTCATTTACCCCAACTTTGGTGTCCCAAGGTGACACTTTAGGAAAATGTGTTGTCTTCTTCTGTCTTCTTATAGATGTATTGTCATTTTTCATCTTGCCAAATGATGAAGGATCAGATTCTGAAGTCTCCCATAACCATGTTTTCTTCCTTGCAACACTCTGTGACCCTTTGAGGGTCTGATCTGTGATATTGGTGCGTGACATATTTAGCCACTTCCTTGGCCTGAAAAGTCACTGAAAAGAAATAACTGCCACATTTCTTTGTCCAAAAGAGTGTCCATAGCTGTCTACAGAAGCTATCTTTACCTTATGGCAGTATGTAACAAACTCAGTGTCTTCTCACTCATTTTCTCATTCCAAGTCTCTGTGAGCCCCACTAGGTCAAACTCCTCATCCACTGCTTTTTTCTCCTGTGTGCCTACAATGCCACTCCTTGCAAATGGTGAGGAATTCAGTTATTTATGCGTTTGTGGATTTATGCCTGTCTGTAGCTGTTTGCTGTGAATTTAAGAGAGAAAACTAAAGAAAACCTCATTCCTTACAGTTAGAGGTATTTATGGAATTACGTGTACTCTTATGTACATAATCCTCTTTCTGATTTTGGAGACCAAATCTCCAAAACACGGAACAACTCCACATTTTTAATCAAGTCCTCTAACATGTTCTAATGTTATGATCATAAGTACAACTACATGTATTGGACATTTGCAGCTCACCTACAAGAGCTTTTATCAGTGTTGCTCCTATAACACACGTTCACTGGCCCAGTGTTACATGATTTCTTTCTTCTTATTTTAGTGTTTCCATAAAATAGGTTGCACTATATGCAATATATAGTAATATATAAATATAATATATATAATAGTATATAATACAACAATATAATTATATAAAATAAAATGGCTGGGGTTTCATTACCTGAAAATGTGGTATAGTTTTTTTCATAAACATGTTTTTTCTGTAAAACAAGAGCATGTTTTCATCAGCTTTTGTCTACCATAAATTATTATGACATGTTTCCTAAAGATGGACAGATTTTAGAAGGTACAGTGAGGTAGCCTTCACTTCAGGAGCAAGGAGTTCTGCTCCCTCAGGCAAACATCTGTGCCAGCTCAGCCCTTCAGATAGAGGCAAGATGTTGCTAATCAGCTAATGATCAGCATTTGGCTTCTTTTGCAGATTTTGATTAAAGCAGAAGTAGCAATGCCATATGCACCATTAGACCAAAATAGCAGTGTGTGCATACCATGTGCATAGAGCTTTTCATGTCTGAGCCCTCACTGATTTTCACATAATTTGTTTCAGTGCCAAACCCACCACTGATTACAATCGTTCAGGGTAGTAGTTTGGCTCTGTGCAATATAAGAAATATATAGTGTACTGTGCTATTTCGGAGCAGTGACCCATCTCATCTGATCTGTTGTTATAGTCTGTAACAGATGGTTCAAGAGGAACACAGAGACAGTGATACAGTGGACAGTAATAAGAAAAAATGCTGATCAAAGACATTCTATCCAATTCTTGACTGTATTTGACGTCTTTTCTCAAGCATAAATCACAGACTCATAGAATCACAGAATATGCTGAGTTGGAAGAGACCCATTGGGATCATCGAGTCCAGCTCCTGGCCCTGCACAGGACACCCCAAGAATCACACCATATGCCATAATGAATTCATGCAAGCACTCCTCAAAGCAGTTGATTTCCAAAATTTAGGTTTTGTTGAGTTTCAGAATGTCTGTGTTCAGTATTTATATTTGGGAGCCATTTCCCTAAGTGTGATAGTATCAACCTTGAAGACACAAGAGCAGAAGGAAGAAGAAAGCTAACTTAAGAACCAGAAAACCCATTTGTCAGTGCAGTACTGTGTTTAGCCTTAGCATGGATGGCCTTTATTTGGGAGAGAGTACAAAAAAAAAAAAAAAAACAGCTTAGGCTTTTGCCGTGAACTACTGCAAAAATGTATATTCTTTTAAGAACTTTGGGATACCTTCTCTGACCCTTAACTTCTTTATGGTTATTTTTTCACCTCTAAGGTTTATATCCAAATTAAGAACATTTGTGAAACATGAAGCAGAGAAAAATAAATCCAAGTGGAAAACTATGGGGCCAGCAAAAGTTGCAGTGCCATCTCCAAATGATTTCCTGCAGAAACATTCAAAGAAACCCAAGCTAGCACCAAGTAAGTGTAGACAGGAAACGCATGCAATGAAATGTATTTTGTAAAATAGAGAGTTAAGCTCGTGTGTCCTTCAGTACTAAGTTATGGCAAGCTATCAGGTTGTAAAAACAAACCTTGAGAAAATACTGCTTCATGGGATCAGTATCAGGAAACCAGCTGCTGTAGGAATGAGGTCTGTCACTTGTGACATTACACTTATTTTCTGTCAAAAAAGCACAGGAACTCAGACAAATCATTATCTCTGACAATGACCATGTATTAGAGTTATGTCTAGTGGGAAATATCTCTAGAAAAAGGATTGTGAGAAGTTGATTACAATGGCTGAGGAGCAGCAAGAGCGGGGCTCTTCCGTAAGGAGAGATGAGCCAAACATTGAGGGAAACCACAATGTAGTCTGAGCAAAGACCTCAGCAAGGGTTTGCAGTCCCACCACACCAGAGGCCAGCAGGGCGGGGTGGTGAGGAAAGTCTGTCCTGTCAGTGGTCCCGTGACCATCAGGCAAAACAGGGTAACAGGCCAGGTCCCTCCACTGATTTCACATAATTTTCAGGACTAGGACTAGGGGCAGGCAAGGCTGAGACAGATCAGCCAGGCACTGACAGCTCAAGGCTGAGCTGAAATGGGGTTCCTGAGCCCAAGAGTGTGGGGTAGATGCCCCAGGTGAGACTGGATGGGGCCATTATTACCTAAGGGCCCTGACAACGAGCATCTCTACTAAAAGTAGTTATAATTACATTTGAAAAGAGGCCTGTACTACTGCAGCTAAGAGAAAATGAGTGACATATTATAAAGAAAACCCATCTGAAACAACATAGTATTTTCTAGGTTATAAAACTTCTGTTAGGCCAAACAAGCATACTTATTTTAATCACAATTCATTGAGAGTCAATTCTTTCATTGTAGATACTGCTGGGTTCTACTTTTATGTAATTCTGTACATAGTTATTTAGTTTTGAAAAATGTAATAACATTAAGTTCTTCATGGTTTTTGCTGAGAATGTTTATGTGCTCTATTCACAGGAAAAAAAGAACAGGATGGTAAGAAAGAGCCTGCATTATCAGTGCCAGGGAGGACATATCGCCCAGTAATTAGGATTAAAAAGAATTTTATAAATATAAATGCACTTGCTGTTATTAAAGGGGTACCTAAAAAGCCTCGACATTTTTGTGTTGATTCAAGACAGGGAGATAAATATCTCCTTGAACCTTCAGGACTTGTACCAAAATACATTAAAAAAAAGGTAAGTTTTATTAAATTATAGTGGAAATACTATTAGCAATGCATATTTTAGGTTCACTATTGCATTCTCCTGTGAAAAGTTTGTGGTTCTTTCGAGATGTTTAGATCCACTGCTGTTTGTGGTAGACCTTTTAAATTCATCAAGAAGTCACTGACACTAGAACTGTGCCTTGCCTTTGCTCTGCATTCATTTGCTTATGGTGTCAGCCAAAAAAACTGGCAGAATGATGGTGCTAAAGCAATAGCATGTGTGTTGCAGTGGGAACCTGGAGAGTATCTAATGGGGAGACAACTGGAATTCTGTGGTAAATGACTGTTGGCTCTTTAGGAAAGACAGGCAGGGAAGAAGAGGGGAAGGTTGCCCTTTGATTGAAGGAGCTGTTCAAATATATGGAATTCTTCTATGGAATTGTCAATAGGCTATTTGAGCTCGTGGGTCAGGATCAGAGGAAAGGCCAGCGAGTGTTAAAAGCATATTTGTTATGGAACACCTAATAAGGCGAGGAACTAGATGAAATTCCTTTAAGCAGCTTGAGGAAATGGTCAGATCACAGTGCAGCTTATGGAAGACTTTATGCTCCTTGATACCTGCTGAAAGGACAACACAGTGGGATGAAAGAAATCCAAAAAGGTTCCTGGAGCAGGTCAGCAACAGCTTTCTAACACAGACGGTGGATGAGCCAACCAGTGGTCATGCTCTTCTGGTGCTGCCACTTACAAATGAGAAAGAATTGGTCAGGGGTGTGATAATCAGTTATAGTCCGAGTTGCACAGGCCATTTAGCAGTTCAAGGTCCCTTCCTCCTCGGGAGGTGGTAGTGTATAGACCCTGTACTTCAGGAGAGCAAACAGCAGCTTATTCAAGGGACTGGTAAGTTGGACCCCATGTGAGATAGCTCTGGAAAGCAAAGAAGCTTGAAGAGAGCTGACATGCCTTTAAGGACAACCTTCCCCAAGCACAGGAACAGTCCACTCTGCTACTCAGAAAACAAGATATATCAAGAGTCTGTCTTATCTAAACAAGTAACTCATGACAGAGAATTATGCAAAAAGAGATAACATATGACAGAATTCCTGACAGAGAAGATGCAAAAGAGGACCTGAAGCCCTTGCAGTACCTTTGCATGGCTAAATATATACATAAACAACGCTAATCACAGTGCTACCCAACAGTAAAAGATTTGTGAATTACTTAGCATTTAGTAGAAAGAATGTAGACTGGTATCTTCTGGCAGAGCTAGATAAGCTTCATTTTACAAAGGCTAAGGCAAAATAGAATATTTCCCCAAGACCATCTGGGATATTCAGAAGGTATGTTTTCCTCACAGAAATAATTCTGTCACATCCAGTATAGGACAGTTTATCCTTCCTAACTAGTCCAGTTTTTATGTATGTGTGAACACTGTTCGCTCTCCTCTGTGGCATGCAATGTTCAACAAAAATTAAGATACAGGAAGACCTTTTCAAACAAAGTCTCTTAAAGAATGTGTTTCCAATCGTGGAATCTGACACCATATAAAAATGTAAAATAACTTGCTGTCATTAACAGATTTCAAAATCCTCACTCAACCATCAGTTCTTATGAATAGACGTTTTAGCTTCTGCGTTCTGTTGTCTGCCAAGGTTGTACAAAGAAATTGAAGGGAATTGTTTGTGCATTTTACTCAGGCTACAAAGACAATCACTCTTGATACTTCTAAGAACACAGTGATTTTAAAATTTTAGTGCTCAGCAGCACAAATTGTCAATTGAAGCTATTTTTGCAAATGTAATATACTATGGATGACAGGTATCTCTTTGTTTCCTTCTTAAAAGCACAAATAAGGAGCATCTTCCTTACCCTTATAGGATTATGGGGTTACACCAAAATATGTAACACAGAGAAATGAAGAAATTAGGAGAGAGGAGGAAGAACGTGAGGCCAAAGTTGTAGAGGAGCTCAAGAAGAGAGCCATGAAACATCTGTCTGATGAAGAAAAGACAAGTATTCTGCAGGTGCATATTTTGATTTAGTGTAATTAGTAATATGTACAAAAGATTAAATAAGGTAGTGCAAGTCCATATAAATAATAAAAGTATACTGGATTTTTTTTTAAGTGAAACGGATGAATTAGCTACTTTTTCACTAGGTGGAGCTGTAGAACAATTGTAAAAAACTGAAAGGAGCTCATCTAGCTACGGTTTTAATCCAGTTCTCAATTCTGTTTGACTCCTATCCCCCTTAGTGACTTGGAATTTCAGTGAAACTCTTCAAAGTGCATAAAATCACCTATATGGATTTAGTGAGAGTTAATCATGGAAAAATACATTTTTTCCCCAGCACAGAATATTGCCCCTTTTATTGGCAGTTTCTATCTTGAAATTGTGACCTCACTGACTAAAACATAAAGTCATGCTTTAAAATGTGGCAAAAAAAAGAAAACAGAATTAAATTGCAATATAGTCATAGAACTATGACAGAAAAATTTGTATTTTGTTATACTGTTCTGGATACTGTCTTTCATACAGTTTTTATTGAACAAGATTTTCTAAAGAGAAAGAATACCGTGAAAGAAATAGAGCATAAAAGAGATATTTTAAAAGTATATCCCACCCTTGAACTGAAATTTTTCCTGACCACTTTTTAGCCAAATTTCCCATGAAAATGAAGCCTACATTACTGTGATATCTGTTTGTCAGGCTGTCCCTTAATAACTTTCTCTTAGCATCCACCTGAAACAAATTAGTAGATGGATGGACAGCTTTGAGATGCTGAACTCCCACAAGAAAAAAAAAATCCAGGAGAATATCTAGAGAGAAAACAGTCTCTAACTCCCTTGCAAAGATGAACTGGTTAATTGGCAAGGTCTGAATTGACCAGCACAATGGTGTCTCTTGCTTGTGCAGCAAGCAGTGGCAGCTGGGAGGGAGTACAGGTGAGAGGTGAGGGTACTGCACTGATAGCAAGATAAAGAACAGAACAGCAAGGGTGAAGATTAAGATATTTTTATGATGGGAAAGGCATGGGATAAGCTGATAGTCCAACAAGTTAACTATGCAACAAAAATATGTGCAAAAAGGCATGTGAGTTCAGCTGCTCATAGTTCTGCATTTAGTTTGATTAAAATTATGTTCTATATTTTTAAAACACAGTAATGCACTAAAATATTTTTTTAATTTAAAAGTTTTTAGACTGTTTTTATTAACTCAGTATTTTGTCCTTTTTTTTTTTTTTCCCAAAACATTTGCTCTTTCATGAACTGACTTATACCGTTATATTGTCAGGAGGAATTAGTATCCCCAGGGTATGTGGCTTCTACCCGGTGCTCAGCTGTAGGCATATGGGAATTCCTGTCTTTTAAAATAATTGACATTGCTAGTGAACACATGTGCACTATCTGATTTGAAAGAATACCTGGCAATAGATGTCTGAGACCAAAGTCAAGCCTCATGACCTTAAAATAATAAAGGGAAATAATTTGTGCCAACATTTTTTGAACTCTCCATTATGCTTACTTTGGTTGGGATTCTATGAGAATAAAACAGAATAAATGCAGTACATATTTTTCCCTGATCCAGCATGTATTAGAATTTTATACAGAGAGCTGGATATTCAGTTTGTGATCTAGCCCATAGCAATAGTGGTCAGCATATTACATTGCTGTTGGAGGAGCTGTGAAGGAGATTTTTATAGAGAGAGTCTTAATCTGCTTTTGATCTCTCCACTTTGTAGGGATAGAGCAAATTGTGAAGAGTGCATACTCTAATATTTTAAAATTCACTCTTTTTTTCAATGATTTCCAAACTAGTTTTTGCTAATGTACACAAAGAAGAGTTATTTGAAAGAAGCCACGAATCACTCTTCTATGAAAGTTTTCTGGAAAGATGATACTTATTTTCATGATAATATATTTGTAAACTGTACTTGATGCCTGGTACTTTGCAAGCTTTATTAAAGTACTTTACAGCCTTGCAAAGACAAGTATGATTACAAGACAGTAAATAAATATCCTCATTGCTCTAAGTTTCCCATGTTGAGGTGGGGTTTTTAAATTTATGTAGATATTTTTATATGAAGATTGTTGGAATAACTTTTATGAACAACACTTAGATGCTTAATATGAATATGCAAAAAGCATGAATTGCCATGCTAAGTACACTGGTTTGAATCAATAAACTATTTGTTCGTATTAAGAATTATGTTTTTCTTAGTGTTGGCAGAGAGAGTTCTTTTTTTTTCCCATTAAATCAATTCCTGCAGTCGACAAAATCAGACAAGCTTTTAAGCACAAGAGCCCTTGAGTTCTGAAATAGAAACAACAATCTTCAAAGCTAAATCTGTATTAAGAATAAACCATCTAAATTTAACTTCAGTATCTTCATCAATTAGCCACTCTGTGAGAAAAACTGCTTAATAATAATAATAGAAGACAAGAGGTTGGAAATCATAATGTGCCATACAAACTGGTTGAATCCAATTTTAGTTATGGAAGAGAGTTGAAAACTTTCGTTCCCAAGAGAGTAACTTCAGTTCTTCATTTTTGAAGATACTTTGCATTATCCTCTAAGGTGACACAACTGAGAGCCAAATAGATTTTGAAGAAGTGTTTTCTCATTGACAGCTATATTGTGTTATTTACTGATTGCTATCTCAGTTGCTTATTAGGTGTGATTATTAAATTCACCCACATAGTTTTCCTGAGGACATTTGATACCCTGAATAAACTCTACTAAATCCTCATGTTTGCATGGATAGGATGTGCAGATTTTGATTATACTTTTGAGGAAAGTAAGAGCAATTGTTGCAGTAATTGTGAGGCTGTAAAGACAAGATTTAAATTTTATTTTTCTACCACAGTCTGGTTCCATTCAGTATATATTGCTGGATAAAAGTTTGTCTCTGGTGTTGAATTAACAGGTTTATGAGTAAATTTTGGATTATAGCATTGTAATTTATTTTTTAGGCAGGGTTTTAGACTCAGCGTTTTATATATGGAGGATACAGTTTGCTTTATCTAGTAAGGTAATTCTTGGCACAGCAGCATTCAAAAGAGTACGTAGTGATTATTGTTGATAGGGTCAGTGACAGCTGAGAGTTTTAGTCCAAATGATAAATAAATTGCCTATAGATGTTATTACAAATGTAGATTGGAAATGGAATGCAATTTCTTTAGAAGTTTTTCAGAGTAGTTTACAGAAGTTGAAATACAGTGGGACCAGTTTCGTGTCCACAGTCTGAGAAAAGTCTCAGTTACAGAAAATCAAGCTGGTGGTGAGATGACCTGAAACTGCTGCTGAATTTTGGCTGGAGTTCCAAGTATTCAAATTTTAAGGATTTAATTAATTTTGTCCAATTAAGATGATGACACATTATTCATATGCTTATCTGATATTTTTACATTGCAGTGACACCAAACGCAACATTTATAAAAAAGTCTAGTCATTTATGTACATATTGTTCTTACTTTAAATTTTTCCTTATATATTTCCTTTTCATGTAATGGCACCAGGCGCTGAAAAAGAACTGGGAGGAACTAAATCGTGAATTTCAGTGTCTTCCGGTACTAACTGACACCAGGTACAAGAAGATGCATAAAGCAGAGGTGGAAATGAAGTTGAAACAATTGGAGCATGACATAGAAGCACTCGAGAAGCACAAATGGGTCTACATTGCAAATGAGTAAGGGCTTGTTCAGATGTTGCCTCTTTCCTCCTTGTTCTCCATCCCTACATCTTCAAGAAGTGCCTCCCTACACTGTCAAAAGAAACTGTTACCATCAACTATTCAGAAACTAATATTCAACTAATATAAGTATGTAGCTTCTTAAAAAAGTTGTTACATATAGCTGTCATCTGTACAAGTCCAATATGTTTGGAAATAAAATTCTTAACTAAACTTTGAGTGTAAATCATGAATTTGTTATTCTTTGTAATTTTTGCTAGCTGCTAAGATTTCTATAAACATAATACAAAAAACATATAAAACCCTGTTTCATATGTTTGGAGCACATCTCTCCTTGCATAGCCAAAACAACAGGAAATAATTCGCTGCTGAAGACAGCTTGGTAAATATAACTTCAGGATGAGATGGCTTCTGGACTACATATTAAAGAGCTGTTGTGCTTTACTTAAAAGCTTGAGTGATTGTATTTCTAAGCAGCTTGGCTTCTGCAAAACATTTTTTGTGCTCATTTTCTGTTACCAAAACCCATTTCTAATGTGGAAGCCTATAATAATATAGACTTCACACAATACAGCTACCACATGTAGCTTGCTGTGTGTTTTTACGAGTAAATAATTCTGTAATACTGTAGTAAATCTAAAACTAAATTAGAAAAACGTGTTTTGATTGAAATTATATGTGTACTGTTAGAAGGAAAGCAATATACTAGCATCTGAGTCAAGGCTTAGGCAGAAATTACATTAGCACACTCTATTGCAATTGTTTGCATAGAAGGAAAAATGTTTTTCTTTCCTACTGCTTAATCTTTTCTTCATAGAATCACGAGTATTATTTGGGTTAGAAAAGACCTTTTTCAGCCCTTCAAAATACAGCCTTTTCTGTATGGTATCAATCACTACCACCAGCAGCTGTTGTGACATCATAGTATCTGACATCAGCAGAGCATGAAGTAAAAAGTCTGAAATTAACTATGAAGAGCCAAATTTTCCTGTACATTAAGTTTCTTTCCTAAATTTGTGAGGGAATGGTTTTGAAGACTTCACAGTGATTCTAGGCTCTATTTCTTGTGTATGTCATACTTGTCTATGACATGCACTAGGAATGTGTGGGTGAGCAGGAATGTGTATTTTGTTCTTTGTAGCTTATTGTTAAGCAATTATGTTCATTTTCAAAGGATATAAGCTGGAAGAAAGCTGCAGATTTGTAAAATATGAATTTCATTTACTTTTTACTCAAAATAATCACTTGCATTGTATACTTTAATAAAACCGCACCAATTATTAGCACTTAATAACATGTCACATTATCTCCTAGTAAAGATGCTGTTCTTTAGAAATGCTATATAATCAAACAAGGCTATTTCACAGGATTTGACTCTAAACCAGAATGCATTCCCATTGCCTCCTCAGCTTTTAGTTAGTTGTAGACTATTTGGCTGAATTATGTTAGGATCTGGATTTGGTTCTTTCGTTTATCATCAGTGCTAACTTTATGGAAATGCAAAGTAGGAGGTGTCCTATCCCAAAATTTGTGGCAAACAGCTAGGCCACACTTGGAAACAATCATCATTCACCAACAATAATGACTTCTTTTTAAAATTGTCAGAAGGATATTAATATATTATTGGGAAGTTAGGAAGTGGATGGGAAGAGATGCAAAAACTTTTCCTTCTTAACAGGAGAGGGAGAGACTAAAGCCAGTGTCCTTCTGTAGCTGAGTGGGCTGTTACCAGTGTCTTTCAACAGTACTGTGGTTTTTTTTCATAAGCCTCATGTAGTTCTTTGCAGGTAGCTCTGCTGCACATGGGGTGTTCCCCTCTTGAGACATGAATAGCTTCTGTCACCCAGGGGAGAGTCTATAACTCCTTTTGGTGTGTATTCCATATGACCTTCCAACACTTCTGATTACAAAGATATATTATAATGAAAACCATTGAAAATACACACAGAAGGACAACGTTTACCCTCTAACCCTCTCTGGGAAGTATAACAAAATAAATTTACAGAATCCAAATAATGTAACTGTATTTATTTGTTAAGGAAATGCCAGTAACTGAAAGTGTAATGTTTGTGAATCAACTAGTATGTATCATTGGTGTAACAAAATTAAGAAGGTGAATAAACTCAATTGTTCTGATAGATTTGTTCCTTCATAAAAGCTATTAAATATTAACAGAAACAAGTCTGTCCACAGGCTCAGAAGTAGTATTATGAGTTGAAACATTCTCTGAATTCAGTAGTCAATTACTGATAATCAATGAAGTAATGAGAAGAGATGCTTCTAGTACTTCATTATTATCAAACTGATAATTTCAAATTGTCTGTATTAGATTGGATAACCATCAAAAAACACATGCAAAACAGGGCATGAATGCTCTATTGGTCAGTGGGAGTTATGTTGCCACAAACTGAAAATATTTCCTGTTGAAAGTTGCGCGTGACAAAACTGTGTATCTAATTTCTAAAAATAGAAACATAAAATTATGATAAATATCTCACTGGCTGTTCTTGAGAATGAAACTATTTATATTCAGGAAGGAAGGGATCAGATATGGCATCGTCACAAACAGAGGGAGTTCCTGATTGTATGGCTTCGATAGAGCTGCCTCAAGCAAGCGTCAGCTCTGGCAGGAGCATATGGGCTCCATGTGGCTGGTCTCGAGGCATGGTGGCTTCTTAGGCTCTGCATGCATTCCTGGGAACTAAGTCTGGGACAGTTCCTCAAAATCTTCCTTTCAGAGGGATAACCTCATTCCCCTCGTAAAACAGAAAGGGCAAAATTCTGTGGGAAAAAAATAATACGGGAGAAATTCCTCACTGAATTCATTTTCCTTAGTCTCTGTGGGTGGGTTTTATCATAGGAGGGCACGTTCTGGCCTTTTGTACACTGTGGAAAATGGATACCACAAACTGCTGCTGTGATTTCTTTGCCACAAAGCAAAAATCTAGGCCTTTCACTGGCCTACATTTTAGGAAAATCTTCATATCTAACAATTTCAGCCCTAAGGAAGGTATGCATCTTTCAGATAAGAAAATTTCACATATATGCTGATTAATGGGAGTCCTAGATAAATGCTAGCCCTAGTAAACACTTTCATCCTGGGCTTTAGGATGCTTATAATATTAATAACATAATTACAGGCGATACAGGTGGCAAACCCTGTTATTAAGGTTGTCTGACACTTCCCATAGTCGAGGCTCAAGGCAGCTGCTGAGCCCTGCAGCTGATTGGCATCGTCCACCAGTAACTAGAGGTGTATTGAGCCTGAGCAAGCTAAGGAAGAGCAGCCATTTCTGCCATGAAGGGACATCCCAGGTGGTGATGGATACTTGACCACTGAATGCCTAAATTTTTTTTTTTCACTCTGTCTCAGTCTTCCTCCAGCTCCTTTTTGTCATGCAAAGTTATGTAAGTAAAATGTGAGTAAATTCAGCAGTTTTACCCTCCAGGCTAAGCAGTGGCATTATGGTATAAATGCAAGGTGAGTTGTTTCTTGTGTTTTCTTATTTACTGTTCAAAGGGTGCTGATGTACATGTGACTGGCATTTCACTAAGTTATGAAAAAAATAATTTTTTTCCAGACTGTACCTCAAACAAATGTTTGTAGACAAGCAGACATAGCCAAATAGCAGGCTATGTGCATGTCAGCTGGACTTGTTGATGCTGCTACGAGAATGAACTTCTGTTCAGTCACTGTGCTAGCCTGTGGTGTTAATTCGTTATTCCATGCCTGCCTCCACATTGACTCCACAGCATGGGGAAATTCACACAAACATGCAAACACTGGAATAATTTAATCTTCAAATCTTTCCTCAAATGTCCTTTGCAATGGTGCCCACCAAAAATTTAACAACAGCTAAACTGCTGGTGAGATGAGCTTAGGGTTTATCTCACTGACCTGTGCAGTTTCCTTGAACTCCCCTGGCACTGCAGCCCTTTGTTTCTTGTCTTAGGCTTAGATTGTAAGTTGTCTGTCGTGTGGATCATCTCTTTCTCTCTTTGCTTCATGTCTGACACAATAACATTTTTGTCTGTAAGTAGAGCTCCTGTGTGCTTATAATAATAGTGGTAATAAATATGGTCATCTGGGGATGAATTAAGACTATGAAACAAAGGGAACAGATTCAAGTTGTTTACTAAAAGGGTCTGTTTTCCAAGAACCCTCATCTCATTTGTTTCAGCAACTGGAAAGTAAGAGCTGAAGGAAGAGAAATGAGATTTAAAGCACTTAACTTATTCCCCGGAGCAATATGATTTATTCATGTCATAGAATGTTTTTGAAATGCAATGGTAAATGACATACCTGGCTTTTTCACTGGTAACCATTAATGCTGCATTTCTCATTTTTGGGGTTCCTGACATCTGCAATTTGAGCCCATCTGTTTTAAATACAGGATATGTGTGCCTAAAATTAGAAGTACGCTTTGAGCCGAGACAGCACTGTGTGGTAGTTTGAATGCTGTTGATTAGTCAAAATTATTGAAATTAATGTTTAAATTACTCTTGATAGGTGAAATCCCCCATATGGAAATTCAGGTGACTCAATCCTTTAATTCCCAGAGCTGCTGTAAGGGTGGACAAGTACATCTAGAGCTGTTTCCATATTGCTTTGAGGTCCATATTAAAGCTGAGGAAGCAATGTAGTAATTCTCTCTTTGAAGGAAGAAACTCCAGTAGTGTTCAGTGTGTGGCCCCAAGCACTGCACAGGGGAGAGACAAACACATATTGCTGTTTGCTCAGGAGGAATGATTTGTCTTTTACACAAATAATAAAATTAGCAAATGCTCGAAATCCAGCATTTCAGCACCCTCAGGGAGCAGGCCATTCCGTGCAGCAACAGAGCTGCTGCCCGGCCAGCCATGAACATTCACTGTCCTACTCTACAGGAGAACTTGTGGGACCAGACTCTGTTTTTGTGACTGCACTGTTTACTCTAGGCAAGCTGTGAAGGATACAAAATTACATCAAAGATGACTGAACTATTCTGGGAAAAAAGTCCTTAAAATGTTACTTGTTTAGTTGTTTAAGACACTCAGAATTCTTTTGTTTGGCAGACTTTCCCAAATTTGTTTTAATTACTAAAAACAGAAAAAAAGAGGGATGAAGCCAAGTGAACAACCTCCTTCAAAAAGAAAACAATCTCTAACAGTTAAATTTGTTACACTGGGTGTGACTCTCAATATAGTTAAAATTCCCTGACTAGTTTTCATGATCATGCATGATGAACTTGTTGTAGGATATGATGTGAGCAGCATTCCTTGAAAATAATGCTTTATTATTCAAATGTCAATATCTGTAAATAGTTAGCTAGGGGAGATATTTCCATAATATTATGAGGAATATAAAGTTTATTCTAGTATTAAAGGACAGGAGGAAATTTCTGTTTGCATTTCTTTCAGCTATAAAGAACTTTATATTAATAATATGAACCTGAAAAGCAGGAAGAGTATCCTCAGGAGACAGGAAATTGCAAAGTGAAGCTCTCGCTGCTCTAGTTTGGCACAGTGAGATTAATAACAAACAAAAATGTAGTTTTGTATTAAAGATGTTTATCATAGACTAAATAAGTCAAAGCTCAGAGTTCTGTCAAGCAGTGCCTAACAGTGACTTAAAGGGCATAAAAATTTTAAAAACAGACTGACATCTTGAATGGCAGCTTTTAGCCATTTTCTTGGTATTGAAGCTACCACAGTTAATTCTCAAAGCCTAAGTCAGTCTCACAGACTCAGTGCAGGTTAACTGTGACAGCTAAAAGCTCCAAGCTTCCCTTGTGGATCTCAGATGCTGCAACTATTTCAAAGCTGAATTTTCCAGTTCCTCTGAAAGGGATGCGATTCTGTTGAAACTGAAGGAGGACAGGAGCCAGATTCCAGCCTGCAGTGCCACTCTGTCACCTGTTGTAGTACAGCAGTCACAAAGAGCAAGTATAGCACCTATACTGTTGCACATCATAGGATGCTACCTAGCCCTGCTAATGGGACAGCTTTTCCTGCAGCCTCCCTGTGTTTCTGAATGTAGGGAAATGTTTTGAAATAGTACTTCATGTTCTCCTAGATGTCTGTAACAATGTCTGCCAAATATGTTCTGCTGAATTCAGGGTCTCCAGCAGCCACCCCCTGGACTGGTTAACTAACTCAGATAATGCATAAGAACTCAAAATTCTGGAATATATTAAAAATTGATATGAAAACAATTTACAATTCTTTCAACATGCCTTAAAAGTACTATATATGCTAGACTTTTGTTTTTGATAATCTCTTCAGTGATGATTTTATCAAAAAAAGTCTTTCTCTGCCACAACTGGGGGGAGGAGTTGTTGTCACTTACCTTGTAACCACTAAGAAATGCAGGTTTATGCTTGATAAGGTTGTTTACAGTTCTGCTGTTCACATAACAGCTGCAGCAACAGGCAGAACCAGAATGAGAGCTCTTACTTCATCCCCTAATTGGCAAGCTTCTACCTCTTGAAGCCAATTGGTAAGCCATACCTCTTGAAATATTCTGGATTTTCATGCTTTTCTTGTCTAGTTTTGGTGTTTACATATTAAACTGAGTTGTCAAATGTTTGTTATAGCTCTTTGGGAGGAGAATACATAATGAAGTTGCAAAGGTTGCTTACAGGTAACTCCATGAAAATGTTTTTCTTGATATTGCTTTCTTGATATATTCCTGCCCCTGACCTTCTATTTTCAGTATTTCTTTACGTCAGAGTTGTGAAAGGGTGGACATGTCCTAATTTTATCAGTAACAAGCTAAGAAACAACACGTGTGTAATTGAAATTATAAAGTTTATTCTGTAAAGGCCTAAGTTATAAATACATTCACAAGGGATTTGCATATAAGGCTTAATTCTGCTCTGGCTCTCTGTGTGTCGCTTCTTCCATCTGCTCCTTTATGGCTTTTGGCTATGTGTCCAGACCTACTTGTTAGTACTATCTACCCTTATTTTCTTTGTTCTTTCACCCTTTGATCATTTCCCATGGTTGTATGTCTAGAAATGTTTATTCTTTTCCTACTATTTTTAGTTTATAAACAAACAGCTAAACAAAGATAATAAGAGTATTCTTCAGAATGTTCACAGGCCTTTTCACAGTTAAGGCCCTAATAACATGTTTTCAGTAATCATATTTTGGCCATAATTAAAAAAAGTTTTGAAAATCTACTGTAAATTCATTCATTCTACAACAGTTCATACTGTAAAAAACCCACTGTAAACATTCAGTAAGTACACATATCTCCATAGCAAAATCTTTAGCAGCTTCACTTCTGTCATGCACAAAGAACCTCATTAATTCTAGTTTCTATTAATTCTGTGAGTTCACAGATCCATGAATTTGTCTCATTTGCAGAAAAGATTAAAAAAAAATTATTACATTTTATGCCAATGAAAAATTGGAGAAGAGTAGCTTTGTGGATTGGGCAGGTGGCTGCTGATAGCAGCACTCCCCTTCAAATGGTACTCCAGCTAAATTTATCTATTTTTTATTTATTTACTATTATTTACTGTTATTAGCAAGACACAACACTTCATTACATTTCTTAAGCAAGCCCGGTAGAATTGCTGGAAGAGAAGAATACCAAAATGAAGACTTAACAAAATGCAGTCACTCAACCTTGATGGGAAGAACAAACATTTCCTGCTTAAGTTTTTCAGCACAATGACAGAGGAATTTTTTTTTTACTGTCTTGTCCATGTTGACGTTTTTCAAAGCATTAAACTTCTGTAATGTAGTGAGAGCAATCTCTTGTATTGCAGTGGTCTGATAAAGAATATTTTAAAAATACAGAAAACTCTGTAATAGTAACCCAAATAGCCCAAAAGGTAAAAGAAAGCTGTACTCAAACAGCACTGGCAGAATTGATCTGTGGTTCTAGCTGTAATCCAAATATCTTCAGATCTACAGAGCCCAGTTCTGTGTTGTTAACGCAACAGAGTTTTATCAGTAACATGGTGGTGAGTCAGACTGCATTACCTCTGGGCAAACGTGGGCTTCAGGAGGGGTTCTTGCCCACCTCCAAGCAAGAAGAATCTTCAAATATTGAAAATTAATTGTGGGTACAAATCAGGAGCATCTAATTCCAAAGTTCAGATGAAACATTAAACTTTCTCAATAATTGTATGAAATGTTGATGAGTAATTGAAAAGCAAAACTATTTAGGGACTTTGTCCATTATGAAAATTTCCTATGTATTTTACAAAAATATTTTTTTTACTTCATGTACATTTGTACAAGTCTGTATATGCTGTTCAAATTCACTCCTTTTTATTGTTTATTTTAAAGCCCTGTGAACAGGAACTAATTTTTTCCAGCACACCTCAATCTTCTTACACAGGCACCACTTCTGAGGCAGGTGTATCCTGGAGGGGCTCCCTATCACTCTGTAAACCTGGTCTTCTGTTCTTTCAGGCATGTTGTCTACTGTAGCAATAGTTCTTCTAAGAATAGTTCCTTAATCCATCAAAAAGCAAACAGACTTGGCTTCATATAAGAAAGGACTGATAACAAGATAATCTTCAATTGCTTTAGTACTTGGCCAGATATTAATTAGTGATTAATTTATAGAAGCCTTCTTAATACCAGATTCCTAAGTTATTAATTGCCCTATCAGTTCTAATGCAAGTGCACTGAAAGGATTCACTTTAAAAGCAGTTCATCTTGGACACAAAAATCCAGGGGTAGATATCCCTGGATTCATCTGAGACCTACAAGTGTCAATGACCACATTGTAGAAAAGTAATGTACCAAATGGAAATGTCTTTCTACTTGGTTGGTAAGAGTCCCTCAGGTACCCCTGGGCATGTTTCATTATGCCCAAGTCTCTCTTAAAAGCAAATTTTGCTTCCTTTAATAATTTCTATCATAGGAATGGCAGAACTCTTGCTGTATATTTGACAGAAGCAGCAAGAAAGAAGCAAGAAGAAAGAAGCTCCTTCTCATTTGTGAGGCTGTGAAAGCAAAGTATTAATAATAACTTCAGCAGCACTGGAAGGGAGGTGGCAGAAGGCTGTGTTGTTCCTGGTTCCTACTCTGTTTTCCTCCTACTCCACAGACAGCGCAGGCACCGCGGGGTGGGCTGGAGGCACTGGGAAGACACAGCCTGCTCCGGCACGCACACAGCGGTGGGAAGGAGCAGCACCGCACAGCACAGCGAGGATGGAAAGCACGAGTACCGAACTGCCGGAAATTTGCTTTCCGGCATCCCATTTTCCCTCCCCTAGAGTGTAATCAAAATCCTGTTAAAAGGGCAGTTTAAGCCACACCAGCTTAATCGCGCCCACTTATCCAGCCCAGGCCTCCTATGCAGCCCAGCCCAAACCGCTCCACCTTATGCCCGTTCCTTCATCTGTACCTGCTCCTGTCCCTGACCCCGCTCCTGTCCCTGACCCCGCTCCCGTCCCCCATCCCGATCCCGCTCCCGTCCCCCATCCCGCTCCCGTCCCCGATCCCGCTCCCGCCGCCCCGCCCCGCAGCCCCTCGGGCGGGCGGCGCGCACGAACATGGCGGGGCCGGGCGGGAGCGGCGCTGGAGGCCGCGGCGTTGTGGTAAATGGGGAGCGGGGCCCGGCCCGGCGCTCGTCCCTGCCCTGCGCGGTTCCCGCACCACTTTGTGCTAACCCCCTGCGCCCTTCCCTTCCTTTCCCTTCCATTCCCTTTCTTTCCCTTCCCTTCCCCTTCTTGAGCCGCGTCCCCTCACCCAACTCCGCTCCCGCCGGCCCCGGCCCCGGTGCGGCTGCCGGAGGGGCACGGCCGTGTTGGGCACCCCGGGCTGCACCGCGCTCGTGGCTTCTTCCCCCGTGGAAATGCAGTCCTGGATCACCCCGAGTGGCTCCTGTGGCCAGGGCTGTGCTTCACCGGGTTCCTCGAGTAATGGAGATGAGGATCCTCAGGGATCCCGAGGTGTCTGGCTCCCACCGGAACGCTCAGGCGCCTCTGGGGATTTGTGGGCTCCCTGAAGGCAGGCTGGGATGGGAAATAGCCCGAACTTTGGCAGTGTATTTGGAGTGCCTGTGGGGATGGATCAGTGATGTAAAAAATGAATGAATGTGCTCCTTGTTCTGAGGGACAAACCAGATTCTCCCGTGAAGCAAATTCCATCACTGCCACCACCTTAGGTATGTTCTTATTTTGTTGTGGCATTGGAATTTTAGCAGAAAATCACCAGGACAGCTGCCCAGATCATGGTCCAGAGCCCTCTGTGTAGGCAGTGGTCACACAGTGTCCATGCCACTGTCCTGTCCATCCTGCTTCCTAAGGACCTGTCTGTGTTTGAGGTCTTTGTGAAACTGCTACACACCAACCACCTCTCCTGACACCTGTAACAAATGACATTCTTAAAGCAGGTGATTGTGTTTATCACCAAAGCAAAGCGAGGATATTGCAAAGGAGGACATGAGTGTTCATAACCATGTTCTGCTGTACTGATTTAATTTCTTCTGCTCAACCCCCCCAGTCAATAGTAAGGTCAGTCTGTATCATTTAAGTTACAAAAGCTGGACTTTGCTTGATGCTCACTTTGAGGTGAGGACTATGCTCAAATTTCACCTGTACTCACTTTACCAGACAACAAAATTAGTGGTGTCCTTCCAAAGGCATTGCAATTGAATATCTCCAGCTTATCTCTTACACCTCAAGGGTACACACTTTTGGGTATTACCATGTATTTGTATTCCTTCTGTATCCATTCACATCCACTTTTAAAAGTCCTACTCAATAATATCTGCTGGGCTATTTCAACGTGCCAAGCCTGAACTTTAAAAGTAGGTCTTTCTTTCACTATAGGAATTTTTTTACATGCAAGTATACAGATGTATTTAGTATATATATTTACTCATCCAGTTGAATATGGTCTTTTTATGAAACAACCACAATTGTTCCCTTCATATTTTCGAGGGCTAAAGCCACAACTAAATAGAAGTCGAGTTCAATCTATATTTTTTGAATATTTTTTTATGTTAAGCTATTAAATTCAGGATAATTGCACTTTTTTAATTCACAGACAGGATAGTCATAAGAATTTACAGTTACTTGAAACTTGTCCTATAGCATAGCGCTGTGAATAGCTTTAGGGTAAATGAGAATTTCTAAGCCTTGTTGTTGGTAAGTGCCTGTTTAAAAGATGGAAGAATATGAAATAGGCTTATTATATCTGAAAAATAATTAATTTGAAAGTACATGTGAATTTCATCTATTTTGTCAAATACCAGCAGGGACTTGTCAATGAGAATTTCTATAGCATTGAAAAGTGATGCAGTTTATTTTCTTCTATTCAAGAGAACCAGAAGGATAAATGGGAGAATCAAAATTTCATCCTGATCCTCTTTATTAAAGGATTTATTGTAACCTAAGTAAAAGCTTAGGTTTGTATGAATTCTGAAGCAATTTCCATCCACTTAGTTTGTTGTTCTGCATCACACTAAAAACGTGCAATTTGATGAAAATGCAGAAGTAAAGCAACGCTGACAGGGGTTTGTAGCGGGTGTTTATAATACTCAGGCAATTTAACTTATCTAAAATTGTTTCAGTTTGTGTTAAAATGCTTATGAACAAAACCATTCCAGGCATTTCATTGCTACAAAACGCTTAAAAAGTTTCAGCCATCCCTATGTAATGAAAAAGTGGATGGGAAAAATGGGCTTCCCAGCTCTTCTGCAGCAGTGTTTTTGGAGCAAGATTTGCCTCTATTTAAAAACCTCACCAAGGAGGATATTTATAATCTCCTGTTTCTATGGAAATGGGGAACACAACTAAGTAACTTTTTTTTCTTTTGTATAGTTTCAAGGCTTCTGTAAGTCAGGGGAAAAGCTTTCATTGATTCCAGTGATCTCCCAGTCATGCCCTTTTGTGGGCAAGTGTTCAGTAGTAGTTGCCAATGAATAACTTTTTTTGATACAGAAATTGTTGGGTAGTGTTAAGAAAACTCGACAGTCGATGTGTCTGTAGCTGTCAATGAATATGCAAAAAAAGTCCCCAAGGAAACCAAAATCCCTGAGGCAGAACGCTTTTGGTACAGCATGAGGCAGGGCTACATCTGAGTCCAAGAATACAGCACATGGAAGCTCAACATCAAATATGCTGTGTGAGCCAAATATTTGTGAGAAGCAGCTTATTGCTCTACTGTATAAAATTGTAAGCAGAGGTTAGTTTCAGTGATGGTGCTTTAAAGGCTGTATGTGCCTTAATACCATTAAGACATGCACTTTGCAAAAGTGCAAAAGTTTGTCCCCATTTTTCCTTTTATAAGCCAAGCTGTAGAAAGACAATATGTGGCTTAAAGAAAATGATTGTAAAGAAAACCTAGTAGGTGTCACTTTTTATCCTGAGTCATACTGAAGCAAAGCTTTGTAATGATTTCAAGATTACCTTGTGAACCTGCAGGTCTTGTCTTTTACAAAGAATTGGGAAAATGGTTGGTTTGGAGTTTGTTTAATTTTTGTGCCGGGGCTTTGCATCTTCACAGCTTTCTGAAGCCTTCATCTGTTGGCTGAGTTTTGCCTTTCCTAATCTCTACTGGCTTTGTATGCTGTGAGATCTCTTAATTGTTGTATTCTGACACCAATGAAACCAATGTATATTAAATCTGTAAAATATTTTTTTCTGTAAATGTATGGATTTAAAGACTAGCTGATAGTGAGGTGAGATGCAAACATTTTGTAATCACTTATCTTTGATAACGTATAAATTAAGGACTTCACCTCTGACTAGAAGTACAGTCTTTCACTGATTTGCACAGATATCATCCATGAACCACGTAATTTATTCTCCCTGTGTTGTTTCATCTGTAGAATTCTTATTTCTTTATTCATGTATGGCTTTTAAATAACTCTAAACTAGAAATGTGCAAGTATAATGTAGGATTTTATGACTTTTGATCCCACTGTCTGAATCTCCCATTGGAGAATCCCTTCTTACTGTCAATCTTATATTTGCATTTTGAGTTTGAAGTAGCGAGAAACTCATTCTTGCCACTAAATTAGTATCAAATGTTTCCTTTTTCTGTCTAGTTGTTTGTTATTTGTGGTAAAATTTCCCACATTCTGTGGGGGAAAAATGTAGCATTTGATTTCTGAGATAAACCAAGAAACAAAATAATTAATAGGAAAAGCAAATTAGTACATTATAACTGGAAGAAAATATGGCATACGATAATTCAGCCAATAGAGTGTACTAGAATCCTGATTTTATATCAGTTACATAATGTCAGACACCATGAAATGTTCTTAACAGTACTATTTGATATTCAGATTTCAGACAATTGGCCTGGATACAGTCTGGATTTGTTCACTTATCCTCAGCACTACTATGGAGATTTGGAATATGTGCTCATACCTCACGGCATTATTGTTGACAGGTATGTGTAGTTTGAGTGTTAATAAATAGATTCTTTGTTCAGTAGTATTATTCTTTTTTTTATAAAGGCTCTCATCCACAGACAGTGCGTGTATAACATTTGTCCATAAATACTATATTGGCATTTATAAAACGATTTAATTTGGAAAGTAAAAAAATGTTTGAAGGTTTTAGTTGCCTTTGCAACTCCCTGTCTAATTTCTTTCACCTAACTTCTGATTTGGGCATTGAATGAGACGGGGAGTCCCACAGGAAAAGAGAGTCTTATCATATGGAGAAATTGGCTTTGGAATGTAGATGAAAAGACAGCTGAACTGAAGGTGAAAGGGCAAGTAATATCTTTGCATATATGTATGTCTGAATGTCTCACTTGCACTCTAACCATCCTGTGGTTTTAATTAAAAAACAGAAAAAGGAGAAAAAGCTACATTCCATTAGGTACAACTTTGGCAACTCCCTAGCACGAATTAATGCAAATTAACCTGATGGTTCCTGACTGCATGTGACTTCTGCCATTCAGCATAACTAAAAAGTGTTGTGGACTGTTTGGGTCCAGATGTTAAGTTTGGAGAGTGTCAGTGGGAAAGTTTGATCATCCTTCATTCCCTACTTTGTGGCAGTTCCCATGTGCACTCAGTGTAGGCATCTGATGTGCTTCGGTATTTGTGGTAGGTCAGCTCAGTGTTTGTGCTCAGTTACTACTTTGGTGTCCTGTTAAAAGACTTACGAAAAGGTTACAAAATGGAAATGGTAATTTTCAACAGTGTCTTTATTGGGAATATCTGAATGGAATTTCATGGGACATTTTCAGCCTGCAGCTTTCTACCTACCACATTTCAGCAGCTGGTTGCAAATACAAGGAGTTGGAGTTCCTTGAAAGAAGATTGTAAACATCCATCATAAGGAATAGCTATTACTCCTGGGTTTGTTTTTGAACACAAGCTTTCTTTAATTGCCTGTTCAGTAACCATTGTGTTGAATTTCTAATCTTTTTTGGTTCAACTGAATTTTAATTCCTCTTTTTTTTAAATAAATATATCCCAAGTTCAGCTGTCATAGAATTAAATATAAATTTCTTTGAAGTAAGCATTGAACTCCAGTGTTGTTTTTGTACTCCAGCAGAATGAGCTCCACTTCTTACTCCAGCAAAAAAAGGCTGATTCTATTCTAATGGAAAAGGACATAGAACTTAATATACTGAGATCAGGCAAGATTTTCATGTAGGAAGAAGGCTCAGCACAAGAAAATTCTCTTGTCAGTTGGTAGCAATTAAATATAAGTTTAAAATGTCTAAATTTTTATTTAGAAATTGAAAATAATACATTTTTTTCTGTGCTGGAGTTCATACACTTTTAAAATACAAAGTGATCTTTGGAATACTTGGTAATTTCAGCTCCTCAGACAATCTGAGGAACAATATAAAAATGAAAATCATCAGAGAAATGCTTCTTCTTAATGAGAGGTTTTCCCCATGATTCTCAGACTTGATAAAAGATGATAAAAGATTATTATTCTTCAGTAAAGTAAGTGAAAGTCTTTTACTATTTCTCATTCTTACAACAGTAAAAGTAATTATATATTTGAGATCAAACAAGATGATGTAATGATATCTCCTGTTTCTCAGATAAAGACTTACTAATTGCTGCTATATGGAATTTACTAGAACATTACCAATACAAAGATGTGAAAATGAAGCAACAGCTTTGCTCCTAACTAGTATATTATCTTCAGTTTAGAGCTTATTCTGTTCTAGTATGTGCACAGATTTCACTGAAGTTCAGTCAATTCATTTATGTAGTGGCAGATTGATTTCCATATTAGAGTCAGTAGAGAAAGAAAAAAATCAACAAAACCTTATAAATGTAATAATGAAAGACATGGGATAAATTTTAGGATTATTTAATAAATTTCTTCCTGTCAAGAAGGCCACTCTTATTGAAACTGCTCATGTAATTCAGAGAGCTATCAGAGAATTTTCCAGCATACGTGTTTATAGAATATAATGCATTGAGCTGTTTTTCCTCAAAACTTCAAATTACATTAAGTTTTCTGTTGATACTTGCTTTACATCTAGAAATTACCTGGTGCTCTGTTTTACGTCTAGAAATGCCATCTTTGATGTTCTTTAGACAGCAAAGCTTCTTAAGATGAATATATATTATTTATACTTATTAGTAAGATTCATATTTATTATTTTTATCTTGAAAATATACGTAGCATTTTATGGCAGAAATGAGTAACTTTTGTTTCCAATCATCTGCCATATTGTGTTTGCAATGCAGAATTGTCAAAGGGAAGACAGGTTTGGGAACCCTGCAGTTCTGAGTTCACTGGAGCGTAAGCTCAATTATTTGCGCGTGTGTGAACCTTGAACAAGTCACTTAAGCTCTTTGCACTCTTCATTTTTGTTGGATAAAATAGTCATCTGTATGAAATAGTGATAATGTGCACTCTTTATAAGCTTTTGACTGATGCTCTGCTTCTTTCTAGAATTTGTGTGTATTTTTATTAAAATTGTAGAGGTAGCATCTTCCAAAGCCAATCAGTGTGAAATATTTCCAGTAATTTTCTTCCCTATCTTTCACTTAATTTGTTGTTCTTGTGCAGCAAATAACAAGTTAGGGGATTGTTCAGGAATATTTTATACTGATGTTTCCTGTGAGGTAAAATGGAAGGATAAACCATATTCTTTTCTCCAAAGTCTCTGAAATGCTTATGAGTCCAGCATATGCTGAGATGGGTTGCTCCCTTTGGTTTAGCTGGGGAATTTATGCATTTAAGGTTAACCAGTTTGATTCACATGCTTTGCATCATGCATCCATCACTCTGTATCTGCCTTCTGTGAGCTGGATCCAAACCCGGTAAGCATTGGAACTGACTGCCCAGGAAGATGGTGGAGTCACCATCCCTGGAGGTGTTCACAAAACAGCTGGATGTGGCACTTAGTGCCATGGTCTAGTTGACAAGGAGGTGATCAAAGGCTGAATTCGATAGTTTTGGAAGTCTTTTCCAACCTAAATGACTGTATGATTATGTGAAGTCAAGACACTTAAACAGAGTATCGGTCAAGCTTTATACTCGCTGTAGTGTTTGTAAACACGTGGAAAGCCTACCATGAACTTAGAGCATCTGCATCTAATGTTATTTTATCCTTAATTTTTTTTTTGGCCCAGGACAGAACGACTGGCCAAAGATATTGTGCAAGACATTGGAGACAATGATATTGTGGTTCTCTGTGTCCTCAAAGGTGGCTACAAGTTCTGTGCTGATCTTGTGGAGCACATTAAAAATCTCAGCAGAAATTCAGAAAGGTTCATCTCCATGAAAGTCGATTTTGTTCGACTGAAAAGTTACCACGTAAGTCAACACCCTTTTTATGTAGATTACGGTAGAATGTCATAATAAATAGTGGATTTTTGTTCCTGAGATCGCTCCCTTCAGTTAAAACGAAAACAATGTGAAAAATATTTTTGTTTGAAAAACTTGTGAGGTTTTCTTTAAAAATAATTGTTCATATCCTAGTATGAATGAGGATATGAACATCTTTGGCCTGTATTGTTTTGTTTAGTCTGTCTTTAGTTCTGGACAGAAAATTATTCAAATTTCCTTCATGCTAAATGTCAGCATGTTGTTTGTTCTCAAAACCCTTTGCAGTTCTGTCAGGTTAATTTCATATTACTTCATTTTCCACCCCCACATAGTTCGGCATAACTGCAAGATGATAAATCTATGTCTTCTTCTAAATGTTTAATGCTAAGTAAATGAAGTGCTTTCATCTTCATAACATGCAGTTTACATAGTAGCAAAATATACCATCAGATGATGATAGTGTTCTATAAGAAGATGAAACAAGCCATAGAATCAAATCCAGTGTTGAAGTAAGCATCAAGATCTCCTGTTATCTTCAGAGGAAATTATGCAATAATTCATTTGTGTCAGTGAGGATATGATAGTGAGATGACCAGCCTTTAATTGCACATTGTTATAAGCTATAAATTTATATTCTACGTTGTAGTGCCCATTCCATAGTGAGGGAGCATTTCTAGAAGCAAGTTGTCCTAGAAATGTCTGAGGAAATACACTGAAAAAATGGAGTGATAATACAGTGTCTTGCAGAAATCCAACTTGCTGAGTCCAGCAGTTCCCATAATAACTCTACATCCCTTCCACAGGCAGAGGTTCGTTGGTTGGCAGTTTGCTCTGACACCAGAGACCATAAACTTCTTGCAACTTTCACGTATTCAGTCTGAATTTTTTCCTTTATGGAAGAAAAGTGAACGAGAGCCTTTATTAGGCATTTGGTTAGGCTTTGGTCCTGGGAGTCCTCTTTCAATAATTAGCTATGTCTATGGAGAGCACATGCAATATTAATATTTTATATTTTCTAGGTATTCAGCAGTAGTACAGAACTAATTAATAAAGTAAATTATAATGTTTGTCTCACATAATGGCACATGAAAATTATACGCAATTTTTTTTCTGTAATTTTGAGAGCACTTCAGTAATACTCCTTGTCAAATAGTGGAAGTACTTTAATGGTGGTTTATTTTGCATCTGGCATATAGATAATGCAGGTGCTTTTCCTATAGGGTTATCCCTTATCCAGTATGAAGATATGAAGGTTCTAAAATTTCTTTCCTTGGTGACAAATCAAGTCTTATTAGCCATACTAACTCATAACCAACGAGTGGCACAAGATGTATACTGCAGAAATATGGAAATCTTCACATCTTTAGCTTAGGAAATAAAAGTATGTTATATCAAGCTTAAACTGCATCCAAATTTTGTTATGCAAGGGTGATGATATCAATATTGAGTCCTAGATGATCCTAGCATTTAGTGGCTGTGCATGTTTCAGATCTTAGTCTTGTGCTTTATCAGAAAGCACCTTCCCCAGAACTAGTGCTTGCATCTAGTGTTTAGAAAATAAATCCTTTCTTCTTATACGTGCTTCCAAGCAGGTGTCATGTATTTAGAGTCTGAAGTGTCCTGAATTCAGTGCTGGGAAGAGTGCTTGATGTGTGTCTGGTCTTGAGAAGCTGAATGATACTGCAATCATTTGAAATGACAATAGGATTGGTAGATTCATTCCATGAGATATGCAGAAATACAATGCTGAGTAAAGTACCAGTACCTCTACCTGCCATCCTTTGCATCTTGAGTTATTGTTGTTTCCTGTGCAATTGCAGGTTTTAGAGAATGTTCCCTTGTCAACATAGCTGGGGTCAGAACACTTGAGGAACTCGCTGTAACTTGTCTGAGTGACTCTTTATCCCAGCCTTATATCAAACTCCCAAATCTCCCATGTTAATATCTTTTGTAATAACATATCTCTCACAGTGTTTTACAGTTTAATCAGAGGCAATAATTACAAGTTTGGAGGTAAGACTCTACTTAAAGACTTGGAGCATCACCAGTTCCACTCCTTTTCTTCCTTTTGCCTTTTCTGTTCCACTTTCTAGTAAGACTTATTGCTGCTCTCTCTTTTTATCCCTTTTTCATTTTATAGACACTGTTCTTCTCACATTATTTATCCTGCTTCCTTTTACTAACTGTTCTCTGTTTCTCTTCTAAAGGGAGTCCTGCTGCTCTCAATATACTTCCTTCAGATATGTCTTCCTTCCCCCCTCCAGTTGTTTAAATGCAACGACTAATTTCAGCTCAAACTCATGGGATTTTTAAATTGTCTCATTCCAACTTCAATACTGAAAGGTTAGTTGATTTTTAGGAGTTGTAATTTAAAGTGGGATTTCTTGGTTTAATCATATAGCAAAAATGGGCTGTAATTGTGACCCAAAGTCAGATCTTGGCATCAGTGAAAATACATCTTAATTGCAAAGTGTCAGTGAAAAATATTGTACTTTGATGTTTTGCATACAGGCATGATTACAGGAAAAGGAGATTGTAAATATGACAAGGTTTATAGGGCGCTTTGTTTTTCAAACCTGTCAAAATATTCCAGAATTTAGACTTTAGCATTTATACTTAATTAGTATGTTACGATCTGCTTTCTTATTAAGTAGTTGAAACCTGGGCATGTGTCCTCTTTGTTAGACTTCGTCATGCAAATGAATTGTTAAAAAAAAAATTAAGGCAAAGTACCCTTAGATTCTCTGGATATTAATGAAGTGAGTGACTACTTGTACTTCCATAACCAGGATGGTTTTATCTGGTTTGCTAAGTATTGTCATATGTGCCTGAACATTTTTGTGAGAAATTTTTGTGTTTTTTACAAGGGGCAGATTAAAAGAAAGCACCAAAGTGAGAGTTAGAAAATACGACTTCAGAAGTAAACAGATAGGAAGCATCACGCAGACTTAAGGGTAAGAGTCAGGAAGTAGATGTAGAGGAAAATAAAATCCAGTGATGGGAAGTTGAATGAGAAGCAGCAGTTCTGAGTTTTAAGAGGCAGAGAAAACATACAATTTTTTGAATGAACTCAAGAGTACTAGGGCAAGAAGTATAGTGGGTAGACAAAAAAGCACTAGAATAGTCCTCATGTGAAATATGGTGAATGTCTGGAAAGATGCATGCTAAGTTTTAAGGGAAACACTGACATAAGAAATGATAGAATTTGGCAGCTTTTTAGATATTAAGGAACAGTGGAATTGACTGTAGAGATTTTTGAGTTTAAAACTGGGTAAAATTTAAAATGTACTGTATTCAGTTTTTACCATACTGAATTTTTTTCTGAGTGATTGTTCCTCTGTGAGGAATCAGGGTTCTGAAGTTAAAAATAAGTGAGTTTCAGATTGGTAGAAGAAGTAAAATCATTTTCAGAAGCACGGTGGGTTGAAGTCAAGGATGAAAAGTAGTAGAGGAAGAGGCTGAGTTTGGGAATGTCATCTAAGGAGAATATGACACCAGCAGGAGAGGTAAGAAACACAGATCCAGAAATTCTGTAATACATTTGTGATACTGTGCAGAAGAGTAAGCTGTTCATAAACAATAATTAGAGCTTCTCTTTGCTCAGTGTGGAAGAGACAATTTAGGACAGGTTGATAAAGGTAAAGGCTGAATTATAGCTTGAGACAGAGGAGGATATTCTGGCTTATCAAGTCTAATCCCCTACTAAGAGGTGCAACGTTATCACCTAATCCTGTTCCTTGGCTCTGACAAATGTGATCTTTAAGTCAAACCTCCATTTTGAAATGGAATTGAAAAAATTAGGTGAAGGAGTAGAGGGAGTACACAGAGTCTGTAGACTTTTTGAGAAGTTCTCAGCAACCTCTCAATAGAAGAGAAAGTAAATGCATGTGAATTAAAACTTCTTTAGTGGACAGATGATGGATGCTAGAAATTGAAAGAATCATAAAGAGTTGTTGAAACTGGTGGTGGGGACTGGTGGAAGAGAGAAGAAACAGGCACACCATGCATTGCTACCTGTTCTTGTGAAATGTTTGGTATTCCCACGTTGTTATCCATAGACATCTATCGAATTCTCCTAATTACTATATTTTATAAAGTAAGTATGATAGTAAAGCTCACATCCTGGGGAGAGGCAAGTGAATCTTGGTAGCATAACCTTTTTTCACTGAAAGCTGTGGAGAAGTGAAGTGAGAATGAGACTGATACTTTTCCTGAAGTCTTTTGTGATTTGGTTATATATGCAGACTAAAGTGTCTTCTGACATCTCTATTACTTTGAAATAGCATTGTTGTAACAAACTCTGTTATTTTGAATAACTTTGGAACCACACCTGGAGTACTGCATCCAACTCTGGAGTCCTCAGTACAGGAAAGACATGGATCTGTTGGAGGAAATCCAGAGGAGGGCTATGAAGATGATCACAGGTCTCTTCTCCAGAGGAGAAGAAACCTTGGGGAGACCTTGGAGCAGTCTTCCAGTACCTAAGAGCCCTACAAGAAAGGTGGAGAGGGACATTAACATGGGCATGGAATGATAGGACAAGGGAGAATGGCTTTGACCTGAAAGAGGGTAGGTTTAAACTAGATATAAAGTAGAATTTTTTAATGATGAAGTTGGTAAGGCACTGAACAGGTTGCCCAGAAAGGTGGTCGATGCCCCCAAAGGTGTATGAACTTAAGAGAATGTTGCTTGCTAGTCACTTGGAGGAAACTTCTAGAGGATTATGTGGATTTGGTCAATTCATGTAATTCTTTAAAATAAGTATATTATTTATGGTTTCCAGAACATAATTAATAAAAAAAAAAGTAAAAATATGACCTCTGAATTGTAATCCATGCACAATGGTTGCATTGAATTCTGCTCACAAACAAATCCATTGATATGATCTGTTTCCTCTTCAGCCTCCAGTTGTTTGAAACATATTTACAACTGTTGGTTATTAGTCTTGGCATAAACAGGACCATTAGTACTGCAAAAATCTGAAAACAAGCAACAAAACAAGCATTGTTTAGTAGAAATCTGAATGTTTTTGCTATATGAAACCATCTCAGTAAATAGTTTTGCTAAATCTCTCTACTGTAGGAGTAAGGAAGCAGTGGGATTTTATAATGAGTAAGTTGAAAGCTTGGTAAATTTATTTTTCAGCTGTGTAGTTTTCCTTCTCATACACCATTACCAAATACTTAATTCCTAAAAGGCACAACAGCATGAGCCATCAGACTATAATCAGAGAGTGGTGTAAAATGTACATTCCTACATTGCATAATAACCTATTCTTATTCAGTATAGTTTTACTGTATGGAACTTGATTTTTTTTAACACCAGTATGAATTTTATATCTGAAAACAATATGTTGAAATCCTGACCCGAAAAAAGTAACCTCAAAATGGTTTTATTAATTTAACAACACAAAAGAAACAACTAAGTGTCCTGCCTGCATTTAGTGATTCATGTCTATACCCAAACTGTACACCAGTGTTACAGTGATTGTTTACCTCTATTCCTGTGTCATGAAAACATAACTTATCTCCTGAGAAAAATGTGCATCCTGAGATGAAAGAGAAGCCACATTAGTTTTTGTACATGCAGGTTTTTTCTTGGGAAAGTTGTGAGTTCCCTTTATTTTGCATCATGTGCACAGTTTAGCTGATGATGACCACATCATCATCTTGATGCTGAGTAGCCATGGAAGACTTACAAATTGGAGCCTATCTGGTAGAATTAATTCCTGTCAACTTTAAAGCCAAGTTCTGCAATAATTTCATGGGACTGAACTCCAAATTATGTGTGAATTATCGATTTGACATGCAGATAAATAACTTCAGTGTAGGCAAAATGTGGTTTAATTTGGAAATTAATAATTTATTATTTATATATGGAATGAGGTGGTCCATGTACTAGACATTTAAAACCTAAAAAATACTCTTAAGCTTTTTCAGATGCATGTCTTGCAGTCAGCATTGTAGACAGTAAACAACTGTACTGAGAATTTTGCACCATGATATATTTTTAGATGCTAATGGGCAGCAAAAATATGACATTAACTTAGTCCACAGAAGCTACCAGTGTAAAGGATCTAGACCTTGAAGTTGTTGCTGTTCTGAGATTGTCAGTGGTGCTGCCAGAGAGATGTCTTATGGGCAAACTGAAGATAAGAGATTTGGGACTAGGGATCTATTCCTAGAATTGCCAAAGGGGTTTTATCTCTGTGTACTTTCCATGTCTGTGAATAGATAAAATGGAATTTTCATCCTAAAGTAGCAGTATATTTTTGAAGGAAAGCTCTGGGAAATACTCAAACCTGCAAAAATGAGTGAGTATAAGGTCCTTCACAGCTTCAAGCCAAAGATATTCCTGAGTCTTAAGCAGATATTGATATATCTCTGTATGTCTGATGCTTCAGTTATTTTCTGAAACTTAGTAAGACCTGAGATGGTTAAGAAGGTGAGGAATGGTGGAAACAGACCATATTTTTTGTGAATTGAATGTTTGGAGATGCTACAGTTGACAGTTCTCCAAACTGTGTCCAAACGTTCATTTTTCAAGTGGTAGGACTTGTTTAAAAATAGAATGTTTTTTGTGAAAGAAGCAAAAAACCCCACTTCTACATGCAGCAGTGTCTTACTGCTAAATATCAGCCTCAGAGACACTAAAGCTTTTCAGAGAATCAGCCGAAAACATGTTAGTGGTGGAAGTTGTCCCAAGAGCTTATTCTTGCAGCAAGCTGATGAACTCTTTAAAGGAATTTACAAAAATATAATGAGGTGAATGAGAGTCTCATGGGTTGAATTGTGGGCGGTGGTATTAGAGTAGCAGCACAATTCAGGCACTTTGAGAGTAAACTCTCTTATACTCTCCTGCCAGATTCCTCTGCATCAGGTACAGATGGCTCATGGCTTGGTGTAAGAGCTGAGACGCTGGGGATGGGTCTCTTCTCTGATTGCATCAGCTGGAACAATCACCATTTCCAGTTCATTCCTCAGCCACTGCAGTGCCCTCCTGACAGTCACACTTGCCAGCTCAGCTGGTGTTCTGAGCACTTCCTAACCTGTTTCAACCCAGATGAGACCAGTTACGAGAGACTTTCTGTCTGAAGCTTGCTGGATTCATTTTTAGTGACTCAGATGCACACAAGCACCTCAGCCTGCCAGTAGTCCCTGCCAGAGGGAGGGGCTGGGGACAGCCTGTGGGCAGTAACTTCTTTACTCAGCCCTTGCTAGAAAAAGAAGTCTGTCCATAGTCAAGGGATCCTTGCTACCAAGTTTCCAAGCCTCAGACTCACCCTTTTCTTTATCTGAGACACATTCCTAAAAGGTATCAGGAGTGTGGCTATTTCAACCCTA